TTCTAATATTTGTTGGGAGCCTCTAAACCGCAACCCAATATATATCTCACGGTGGTTGGGTGCTCTGATCTTATTGGAGGATAGACATTCCCCGTCCATCTCTCTATCTAACTCTTTTCTCCATCTTGGTACGAGAGTCTATGACTATCACCAATAATCTAATGATCTACTTCCGACCGAATTGCAAATCTCTACTCTCTACTCTTTTACAGTATTACTTTTCTCAACTTGTACAACTCGTCTATTGTATTTCTTATGGATGGGACTCGCAGGACAAGGGTCAGACATGCTTGTTGAACCACGATGGATCTCGATGGAAGGCGTGGCTTGCTGGTACACGAAGGGTCTCTAGATAGTGGATGCCGAACGGCTCACTAGACTCCTTAGCTCCCTAGAGGACGGAGGATCTCTAGACAGCAGAAGACAGATATCTCATTGGCCTCCCTTTCTCCCTAGAGGACGGCGGAACTCTCGACAGTGGATAGCGGACAACTCATTGGATTCCCTTGCCCCTTAGGGGACAGAGAATCTCTGGACAGTGGACGGTGTACAGCTCATTGAACTCCCTTGCTCCTTAAAGGATGGATGATTTTTGAGCAGTGTACGGCAGACATCTCACTGAACTTTCTTGCTCTCTAGAGGACGGAGGGTCTATGAACAACGGCTAGCTCATTGGACTCCCTTGCTCCTTAGAGGATGGAGCGTTTTTGGGCAGTGGACAGCGCACTGCTCAATGGACTCCCTCCCTAAAGGACAGAGGAACTCTGGACAGTGGACGACTCCCTTGCTCCTTAGAGGACAGATGATTTTTGAACACTAGAGGGAAGACCGCTCACTGGACTCCCTTCCTCTCTAGTGGACTCCCGGGCCTTTTTAGGCGGCGTCATGCCAAGGGGAGGAACTGTTATTAATCTCGAGAAATTTACATATACATCATCGTAGAATCTTGGAGCCATTAATGGAGCTCCAAGCTTAAAGAAGAAAAAGTATTATCTAGAATATGAAGTTTGAGAGCATAGGAATTGGCCCCCCTTTGGGTGTTGGTTGCCCTTTCTCTCTTTTCTTCCGTAGCCTTCTTTTAAAGGGGAGGAGAATAATTGATGGAGATAAAAAGGCATGCCTTCATGTGAATCCCATGCAACTTCCCTGTGAAGATGTATCATAGGGCCCACAAAATATTCTAATGTACTATCAAATACCTTCTTCCGTCCGTATCTCTCTGATTTTGTCTCAATTAATTTATCTGATTTATATGTTGGGCCAGATTCAATTGGGCTTACTCGTACTGTTCAAATAATATTGGATTAGGTAAAATCCTTAATCCATCAACAGTAAACCTTTTTCTACCAGAGTTTCCTATCCACTTCACTGAACATCCACAGGTAGACCTTCGTGCATTTGAGTCTTAGCTGTACTCCATATATTTCGAACTAATTTGGTTGAGATGTTGAATTCCGCATCAAATGCTTTCATACAACCCCGCTGAAGTTTTCTATTTGTACAGAATTGAAGTAACTTGTCAATTACTCTTTTACGTTTACGATTACATTCTACACCACCATTTTCTGCAAACTACTTGTTTCTTGTTCTAATGCAGGAGTCTCATGATTGGAGAGTGGAACCTGGACTAGTGGTGGCAGGTTCGTACTGCATGGAAATGAAGAATATGAAGACAAAGAAGATGCTATTGAGAAAAATGGTGATGATGGTGGGGAGTCCATGAGTACGTACAAAAGAATGAAGGAGAATAGGGAGTATTATGAACATGGTGAGGAGGAGGCCAGAAAGAAGATTAAGAAGGACATGCTTTAAATGTGTATTGAATGCACAAATGACTTTCTATTTATAGAATTTGTTTAAGAACATGATATTGTAATTGGAGGGAAGTTTTAAAATTTACCAAAAATTAATTTGGCACAAAAACTTTCCTCCATAATTAGATTTGAGCATGTAATTGTGCAAGTTGAACTATGGGGGAGGACAAAACACCCAGCAGCAGCCGAACTAAGCCCCTATATGAGTGATGTACTTTTTCTACTTTTCATTAATGGAATTACTATTTACATCTTATCATTATTGTGCATAACTTAAGGGTTTGTGGGGTATTTTTGGAAGGTCAAATGTAAAAAATACACTTCCTTAAATTTCAATTTTGGTCAATAAGTCCCATATTTTTAGGCCCGGAGATAGTATTTTTTTTAAGTTTTTAAATGATAAGAAAGCTTTATACAATCTTTATTTTTTAATTATGGAACACACACACACACACACACACACATATATATATAGGTTCTGGTGATAATGAGATCTTAGGAGAGAAATGAGAATAAATTTGGGCCCTTGGATTAGCATCTTTTGCCAATCCTTGCATTTAAATCTGGATGGGCATTTTGGTATTTTTGCTTGGTCAAGACTTTCTCTTACCCATTCGGCTCCATTAGTTGCGTATAATCAGGGCATTAAAATTCTCTTCTCCTCAATTCTCAATTCTTCTTTTTTCACTCTCTTTTTTTTTAATTTTCAGCAATAATATTTGGCATAAATCCTTTGATCTAGAGCAGTAGTTGCAATGAGGACAACGAATATATAGCGATAGTTTGGAGAACATCAGCACGAGGAAGATGATGAATAGTGAAGGTTCAGAAAACAACGGGATGTTGGAGGGTGATCTTGATGTCGATTCTAGTAGCAAATTTCAGAGGAAAATTATTTGATGTTTTCTAGATATGCTTTAATCTATCACAATAGATCTACTTTAGAGGAGATTTGTCAATTGGGAATTGAATCCAGTCGCGGCGGTGCAAGGCCACCCAGCGGCAACAATCCTCTAGTGCGGGGGTGCTTAGGCCGCTAAGAGAAGGAATCAAGACTTAGGCTCAGTAGCAACAACGATGACAGAGGAGTGGTGGCGATCATTCTGTAGTGCATTATGATGAATTTGTGTTGCATTCGTGTACCTTTATGAGTGCATTTTGTGAGAAATTATTGACTTTTAAATATTATTTTGATCATTGTTTGTTTTTTGGAATTTATAAATTGTAAAATGTTTCTAAATGTTGATGCATTAACCAGAATTACGAAATGCATCGTGTCCTTGTGTTTTCATGAGAATATTTTGCATTATGAGCATTCCAATAATGCATTGTCACAAGAAATCAATGCATTCTCATAATCAAGGTAAATGATAATACATTTTCATTTTGTTAATGTGCATTTGCATAACTATAGTTGATGCATTTGATGTTGAAATTCGCCTAACACAAATATGATGCACTTGAATATTCTAGATAGTGAATTTGCACAAACGATTAAGCTTTAGAATATTGAATGATGCAAATTTTAAAGCATTAAAATGTGTATTTAATATTTCCAAGTGCAAGATGAGAGTCTTTTTTAAAATACTAATTATTGTCTATTACCTCAAATGATAGAGAAGTATGTACTACAAATATGGCTACGAATCTACACTTGTTCTAGCATATTTTAATTTCTCTCATTACATCCAAAGTCAATTAAAAGTCATTATTCATTAGTCTGCAACTATAGGTAAATAATGCATGCATAATTTACAATACATATTGCAGTTATACATTAAAATGATGCATACATGTAAAAATATTATCATGTGAGGAAAACAATATGCAAAAAAAAACGTTAAAGAAAGTGATGAAAAAAGGGATATATGATGGAACACTATTTAGAAAAAAATTGAATTATAAACCACTTATTGTTTTCGTTCAAATTTTTTTAATGATAATAAATAAATAAATCTCTTGCACTTTAAGAATGGCATTAATAAACCACATACTAAGAAATGCACTTTAATCTCTTGCACTTTAAGATAAATAATGCATGCATAATTTACAATATGTATTGCAGTTATATATTAAAATGATACATACATGTAAAAATATTATCATGTGAGGAAAACAATATGCAAAAAAAATGTAAAAGAAAGTGATGAAAAAAGGGATATATGATGGAACAGTATTTAGAGAAAAAAAATTGAATTATAAACCATATATTATTTTGGGTCAAAAAATTTTAATGATAATAAATAAATAAATAAATCTCTTGCACTTTAAGAAATGCATTAAAATAAATCAAAAAAAAGAAATAAAATATTATAAAGAGGTTAATAGTAAATATTATTCATTATTGATTTTGATAAAAAAAAATAGTTCACAAATTGAAAAAACATAAAAAAGAAATCATTAACTTGACAAATCCGTTATTGCACAATTAAAAAATGATTAATATTACAATCATTAATATGACTACTCCTAGAATAACGGCTAAAGATTCGGACCTTAATGCATATGGATGGTTACCTATTTTAATTACTGCAATCTTTACAAAAATGCCCTCACTTCTCTATCTCTTCCTATTTTATTGCAAATGTATTAATACTAACCATATAAACAAATAACTAGTTGTCAAAACCTGAGCCGCATAATACACAAGATCTAATGGTTTAGATCTATTCTCATTTCTCTCCACAAGGTCCATTCTCACAGGAACCGAACCCTATATATATATATATATATATATATATATATATATATATATATATATTGTAACGCCCCAAAATATACCCTAGAATTATTAATAAATAAATAATCAATTAATCAAAAATTTTTATAAATGTTTATTGGGCTTTGAGCCAAAATGAAATATGTTTAAATATTCAATATCACAATCTGGATAAATCCAATAAGTTGACTTATTGTATGATCTTGATTGGGAACCTAAGTACATACCCAAATTAAGAATAAATGAAGAAATTGTGATAAAATTTGATATGAAAATTATGTGTAATAAATGATGAATATTGTGATAAAAAAAAGTGACATGTGATTATTGTGAATTATGGACTGATTAAGTGATGATAGTTAAGATTGACTATATTCATTATCATTGTTAAAATAACAAATATGGATTTAAATATGAAAAAGCGAATATTTGAACATATATATGTGATGAGTATTGTTTAAGAAATTATTCTGTGAATTCTTTTGTTGTGCCATGGTACCACTCAGCTTCATTGCTGAGCTTGTAGACTTTTTCATCTTTCTACACGTAGGTATGAGAGAGAATAAATATGGAGCCTATTTTGGAGATTACTGAGATGGAGGTGATGCGTGGACGTGCACAAATTTATTATTTAACTAAATGATTTTATCACATGGTGACCACACTGTTGTAATTTGCAAATCGCTTCCGTACTATTTTGAATAATTTTACTCTGATGTATTATAAAATATTTAGTACAATATTTGAAATAAAGTTTTTAAATGTTTGAAATTTTTACGTTGTCAAGTTAATACTTTAGTCCAAAAGGGACTGCAGACATGAACGGATTAGGGTGTTATATATATATATATATATATATATATATATATATATATATATATATATATATATAGAGAGAGAGAGAGAGAGAGACTTTAAGCAAGCTCATAACGAATAAGTACTCTAACTTTGATGGTTAAGAATTTAATCAAGTATCTAAGAAAATTTGTGTTTGAACCCCCATAGTGTATATTTTTATTAAAAAAAAGAAAAATTAATTCGACTGGTCGATCGGCCGGTTCTTACAGGTTCACACTGATTCAGACTGGTTTAAAACTTATTGCGGTCCAAAGGACTTATTTGGAAGAACTTTTTTTAACACTTTGCTTTGAAGTTAACAACCAAGCATTTATTTGGGAGAACTTTTTTTAATAAAAGAAAAAGATTAAAAACACAAAAAAATATAAGAGTACCACTCTTTTTGTGATTTAAATAGGAGTTTACATTGTCACTGTCGTGTTTCACGCGCACTGGGAGCTCTATTGTTAGTCACTGAAGTGCTGACGTCGGTCCCAGGAGCAAGACACTAGAACACCATGGACCGGCGGTCCACCACCACTCTACCATCACACTACTATATTGTCAAACTCATAATAATAATAATAATAATAATAATATAATCATAATAATAATAATAATAATAATAATAATAATAATAATGATAATAATAATAATAATAATAATAAAGGGAATTTATCTAAATGATACTAAAACATGGTGACTTTCCCAATGTAGTATTATATATTTTTATTTTCCAATGTAGTACTACTGTTCAATGTTCACTGGTCATTGTTCAAGTAATGTCCAGCGTCATTGGACATTGTTCAAACTAAATGTTTACCTCCACTGTACATTGTTCCCACCGCTAGACATTATTTAAGTATACTATTTATGGAATTAAAAAATTCAGATACTATATTGGAAAATGATATATTTTTTAGTACTATTAGTATTTAGTGCAAATTTTACTAATTAATAATGATGATGATAATAATAGTAGTAATAATAATAATCATCATCATCATGATGACGTGACAACCATAAGAGAAGGACGAAGATGATGAAGAATAGAAAATGTCAAAATATAGAAAATGTTTTAGTACATTTTCTGTTTTTTCTCTTAGGCACTTTATTAAAGGCACTTTTATTAAAATTAGATTTACACAATTTACAACAAAAAGAATAAACTTTATCAACATGTTTTGAGAAAACTAACCATTTTCACGTCACTAGTCTCTCCAATACTGACTGAACTTTAGGGATTGAAACATTTACCGTTGATTTGGTTGGTAGATCAACAAGTGAAACGTGTAAAAAGTTGATGATGTGTCATCGTCCCTGCTGTTTTGCCACTTGGATTCTTGAACTCTGTGCATGCGTATTATTCAATTGATTTCTTAGTTCAACTCAAAAGTTTATACACCTGTTATTTTTCTTTTGGATTTTCGATGTGGGATACTTCTTCACACTCTACAATCGAATCATTTCGAATCTAACCAGTTGACCACTTGCAAATGAATTCTCATCCCTGTTAAATGAATATTTGAGCGAAAACACCTAAAAGATCCCGAGTCGCTGGGTATGAACTTTCAGACGATCAATCGAGTTAAATGGGTCATAGGCCGTTGGTTGTGTACTCCATAGGGACAACTCGACTAAGGACTAGCGCTGCTAGGAATGAACGTCTAGACAAACACTTTGACAAATGAGGTAGACTAAAACCTAGCTCTGATATTGTAATAGAACTAAGGATGGGCTATAAGACATTTGGTTGAACCATATTAAAAATTGACCCATGACTTTCTTTATCCATTTTTGATGTAAGATACTTCTTCACAATATGAATGAAGGATTTTAGTTTTGCTTAAAATTGTATATGTGAGAATACTCATAACACTATACAAAAAATATTTGGTGTAGTTTAAATTTAGGAGGTCTAATGCAGTTGTATAGACCGACGTACCTTAGGACAGACCCTGCTGGTCATATCCGATTAAGAATAGTAAGTCCGATGTTAACTTACACCAACTTCCTCCGTCTCGTAAGATAGCTACCAAAGAGAAAATCAGGAGTTTAAGAAGAATAGTAGTGACCTTTGAAGTAAAAGAAAATATTGGTTAAAAAGTGATGAAAAGTAAAAGGAAAAAAGGGGATGGTTTAAATTTGGGATGAGGTATTGGTTTAATGTCATACAAAGTGAAAGGTGAAAAAAAGGTGTAAAAAGAAGAATTTTGGTTTGCTTTCGTGTAGAGACCGTTAGTTTCTCAGTGCTTGACCCCTGATGCTACGCAGCAACTTCTTGTGTCTCTTATTATCAGTAATATTTATGACCCCTTATTAGCAATCTTCTTCAGGGAGACATTTCAGTAGTTTCACTTCACTTCCTTCAGTTGCTTGTTCCTTTCTTTTGGCAGTAGAAGACATTTTTCATTTTTAAGGATAAAAAACACATATTTAGCCAATATAATTTTTGGGTTTCTGAGATAGTGTCCACTGCCATGGGGCTCTCAAGCTCTATAAGATTTTGGGGCGACAAACGGTCCGGTGGGTGTGACTCTCTTAGGGAGCCCCTAGTGAAGAATGGCAAAGGTGGAGAAGTGAAATCACTCTGTGGGGATAAGAAAACAGTCACTCCTTATAGCAGTGCTACCATTCTTAGTAGAATTTCTTACTCATGGATGACTCCAATGGTATCTCTTGGCTACAAAAGACCATTGAACCTTGAAGACATTCCTCAACTTTCTGGCTTGGACAGCATCAGAAACATATTCCCAGTTTTCGCAAAAAAGCTGAAGGAATTTTCCCCCGGTAGGAATTCGGTTACAACATGTAATCTTGTCAAGGCTTTGGTTTTCACTGTGTGGAAGGACATCCTGTTGTCTGCTATATATTTACTCATCCATAAACTGCCCTCTTACGTCGAAGCCTACCTCATCAATGACTTGGTTCAATTTCTCAATGCAAGTGGAGAGAGCAAGAAAGAAGGTTACTTCTTGGTCATCGCATTCACCATCGCGAAGCTTTTTGAGTCCCTTGGGAAAACACAGTATTACTTCAAAGTGCAGCAGGGTGGGTCCAGGCTACGGGCTGCCATGGTTGCGATGATCTATAGTAAGTGCATGAGCCTGTCATGCCAGTCGAAGCAGAGGCATACATGTGGAGAGATGATCAACTTCATGAGCGTAGATGCAGAGAGGATCGTTGGGTTCGGCTGGTACTTGCACGATCCGTGGATTGTGCTTGTGCAAGTGGTTCTTGCATTTGTGATCCTCTACAAAAATCTTGGCCTTGCTTCGGTCGTGCCTCTCCTTTCGACTGTGGTCGTGATGCTAGCAAACATCCCTTTGGGGACATTGCTTGAGAGATACCAGAAAAAACTTATGGCATCCAAGGATGATCGCATGAAGGCAACCTCAGAAGTGTTGCGCAACATGCGTGTCCTCAAACTTCAAGCTTGGGAGATGAAGTTTTTGTCCAAAATCAATTCCCTGAGGGACACTGAGGTAAGATGGTTAAGAAGATACGAATATGTTTCGGCTCTGTCGGTTTTTATCCATTGGGTTATTCCCACATTTGTGTCTGTTGCTACATTTGGTGCCGCTGTTCTTATGGGGACACAGCTTGAACCCGGAAAGGTTCTCTCTTCTCTTGCCACATTTGCGCTGCTGAAGGAGCCTATTTATAGGATCCCAGATGCAATTTCAAAGACCGTTCAGGTTAAAGTCTCCCTTGATCGGATCGCATCATTCCTTTCGCTTGAGGACATGGAACACGACATTGTAGAGAAGCATCAAAAGAGCTGTTCTTCTGATGTGGCCATTGACATTGTAGATGGGAGCTTCACATGGGATGAATCCTCTCCCACTCCACTTCTAAAAGGCATAAATTTGAGAGTGCGCCACGGCATGAAAGTTGCCATTTGTGGTCCTGTTTCTTCGGGAAAGTCGAGTTTGTTGTCTTGCATTTTGGGAGAAATGTCCAAAATTTCAGGAAGTGTTAAGATCTTTGGGACCATTGCCTATGTTCCTCAGTCAGCGTGGATACAGAGTGGGACAATAGAGGAAAACATATTGTTTGGGATGAAGATGGATAGGGAGAAGTATGACAGAGTTGTTGAGGCATGTTGCTTAAAGAAAGACTTGGAAGATATCCCATTTGGGGACCAAACATTCATAGGCGAGCGAGGCATCAATTTGAGTGGTGGACAGAAGCAAAGGGTGCAAATTGCTCGCGCTTTGTACCAAGATGTTGACATCTATCTCTTCGACGATCCATTCAGCGCAGTCGATGCTCATACTGGAACTCATCTCTTCAATGTTAGTGCAACTTTTGTATCATATGCCTGTCTCATACTTTTATCAACAATAACTTCTGCTAAAACTTTCTTTCCATTTATTCGCAGGAGTGTATACTTGGGCTTCTGGAATCAAAAGCTGTTGTTTATGTTACTCATCAAGTGGAGTTCTTACCTGCCGCGGATTTGATCTTGGTAAGCTACCCACCATTGACTTGTTTCATATTCAGCGACCCTAGTTTTGTGGGATTTTGCTGGGGGCGTTGTTGTAATTATTAACTATATCAGGTTATGAAAGGGGGGAAGATTTCAAAGGAAGGGGACTACACAAGCATCCTCAAATCAGAAACTGAGTTTATGGAACTTGTGGGTGCTCACAAGGAAGCACTGTCATCTATTGATTCATTTGAAGAAAGAGTGCTAACTGTGAAAAATGATAACAGTACTACTATGCAAAACGAAGAGAGTGGTAAAGATGATTGCAGCAGCGCGAGACCGAAGGGCCAACTTATCCAAGACGAAGAGAGAAAGAAAGGCGGCGTGGGTTTCTCAGTTTACTGGACATATATGACATTGGCTTTTGGTGGGATTCTTGTGCCCTTCATATGTCTGGGGCAAGTACTTTTCCAAGCACTTCAGGTGGGAGGAAACTATTGGATGACTTGGGCTACACCTAGGGTTGGAAGCTCTACTACTCTGCTTTCTGTGTATGCGGTTTTTGCGATTGCAGGTTCTTTCTGCATCCTTGCCAGAACCTTGTTGCTAGTCACCGCCGGTTTCAATACTGCCACAATGCTCTTTCACAAAATGCATTTGTGCATTTTTCGTGCTCCCATGTCCTTCTTTGATGCCACACCCAGCGGGCGTATTTTAAACCGAGTAAGACAACATCATATTTTCAAGACAATATGGATAACAGATCATATTTTCTTGATTATTTTATTGGTTGCATTGTCACCATGACAACAGGCTTCTACGGATCAGAGTGCTGTTGATTTGGACATCCCCTTTCAATTAGGGGCATTCCTCAACGCCATAGTCGAGCTTTTGGGTGTCATAGTTGTAATGTCACTAGTTACATGGCAGGTCTTTGCTATATTCATTCCTGTCATTGCCATATGCATCTATTTTCAGGTCTCTTCTATATGCTTCCTTCTCTCATTTCCCCATCTGGGCTTCTATCGTTTGCAGCATGATATTTGATTAACCATGTCATCTCTTTTAACTGCAGCAACATTACTTGCCTTCATCGCGCGAATTAGCACGGTTGGCTGGTGTTTCTAAGGCCCCAGTCATACAGCATTTCGCAGAAACTATTTCTGGGTTAACTACAATCCGGGCATTTGGCCAGGAGCTTGGTTTTTTTAACACATTTATGAAGTTAGTGGACGATCATTCTCGGCCCAAGTTTCACGGTTTTGGTGCTACTCAGTGGATGTGTGTTCGCTTGATTACGTTCTCTCTCTTAACTTTCATTTCAACTTTGGTATTCTTGGTCTCAGTCCCACTGGGAACAATCGACGCAAGTGAGTGGTGTTTATCATCATATGTATATAAACATAAAATGAAAGGATTCTTACTGATTCATCCCTTCCAACAATCTGCAGCATTTGCTGTACTAGCAGTGACATATGGGCATAATTTGAACTCCCAGCTGGTTTTCGTTGCTGTGTATTTTTACATGACAGAGAATCTTATGGTGTCAGTTGAGAGAATGACCCAATACACTTCGGTCTCTAGTGAACCCCCTCTTGTTAGTGAATCACGCAGGCCAGACATGAATTGGCCGCCAAATGGTGAAATTGATATCAGGAATCTCAAGGTAACTAATTGATATCAGATTGATCTTTTGCGATAAAACCCAAGTTTTAATAGCGACGGTTTTGGGTTTTTTATTATAGGTCCGATATGCACCACAGTTGCCTCTTGTTTTACGGGGCATCACGTGCACTTTGTTAGGAGGAAAGAAAACTGGAGTGGTTGGGAGGACAGGGAGTGGGAAATCCACACTTATACAGACTCTCTTTCGCATTGTCGAACCTGTTGAAGGAGAGATCTTCATAGATGGCATCAATGTATCATCAATTGGTCTGCATGACTTGCGGGCAAAACTCAGTATAATCCCTCAAGATCCAACCATGTTTGCAGGAACTATACGGGCAAATCTAGATCCACTTGAAGAGTATACAGATGGGCAGATTTGGGAGGTACCGGGCTTCCCATTAGCTTCTTTCTTTGTTAGAGTTAATTTTTTTCTAGTTTTAATTTTTCGCATTGTCATTAAAATGCCTGGAAAGGCTTAGTGAGCTGTTTGCATTCCCATTTTAAGGCCCTTGATAAGTGTCAACTGGGAGACGAAGTACGCAAGAAGGAAGCCGGGCTTGATTCTCCGGTGGCTGAGAATGGTGAGAATTGGAGTGTGGGCCAGAGGCAACTGGTGTGTCTGGGGCGGGTGCTACTGAAGAAGAGCAAAATTCTTGTGCTGGACGAGGCGACAGCATCTGTTGACACCGCGACAGACAATTTGATCCAACAAACAGTGAGGCAAAACTTCTCTTCTTCCACTGTGATCACAATTGCACATAGGATGACCTCAGTGCTTGACAGTGACATGGTGCTGCTCTTAAATAATGGTTCGTTTCACTTTCTGCTCATCTTCATCAACTTATTATCTTTTAGTCAATAAGGTTATATCGTCATTATCGTGTCAGCGATAAGCTCAAGCTTGAGGTTGTAGGCCCAGAATAGATTTTGCATTCTAATGCACTGCAATTTTCTGTCCTCTTTTGCTGCAGGGTTCATTGCTGAATATGACACTTCACACAATTTGCTGCATGACAAAACATCGTTGTTCTCCAAGCTTGTTGATGAGTATACCATAAGGTCGAATTCTGCTTTTCATTAACGCAGCACCTTGGTAGGCATTTGAACTTAGCTTTAGTGCCTAAGCATGGGCAACAAACCGAACTTATATAGTACCCTATCCGATTGTAATGGTACCAAATCGTTTGTCGTGTTTCTAAATGGGATTTGTTTTTTTTCATCCCGAGCCAATATCAAACGAGACGGGACCGAGTTACAAACACTTAAAATCGATTATCATGAAGTGAACCAGTTAAAGTTAACTACAAAGTATTTCAAGTATTTTTTTGTGTACTTCAATTTACCTTTTACAAAGCACTTCGTATTGTGTTTTCCCAATCTTAATATTCTTACATTTCTATTATCATTATTAATATAATTCGAAAATCATTAATAGTCCAATACCGCATGAATTGGAAAAAAGCCATTACTTTTAAAAGTGGATTCGTTATCTTTTACTCCATATTTTTTTTCATCTATGATCTTTTAAGTTTGTACGCATTTTCTTTTTGAACAAAGTTGTACTCCTTTTAAATAAAGGTTTGTGTTTTCATTCCAATATTTAAACTACAGGTGTTTGATTTTTAAATAAAGATTTGTATTGTTCCATTTTAAAATATAATGGTGGTGAATGATTTTGATGTTCAACTCCTACTGATACCGTACCATTTAACTAAGTGTAGTCTGTGATAGATTTGAATAGCATCATGAATTGTCACATGTCATGCCTACCCTTATCAGTGCCCAGGAAAGCAATGTAATACTAGTCTTTATTGTGCTTTTGATTATAGTTGGAGAAAAAATAAGTCAATACTCCTAAAATTTTGAGGTTTTACCTATGATGGCTATATAATGGGATTGGCCCGATATGATTATGAGTTACCTAGCTCATAGAAACATACATTTGTAGCCAGCAACACAGCCTAAGGGGCATGGGGCGGGTTGACGCCCACAGTAAGATGGGTGGTTGGAACCCAAATCAAAAGTGGGGTAATATCTTCATGGTTCTTGGGGAATAACCATGACTAGGTGTTGACACCTTATCAGGTTGTAACAAATTAGTACCTAAGGACTAGCTCAATACACTTAAGTAAAAGGTAGTACGGAGGTAAGCAAGGTCTTTTCCTCAAGGAATAGTGGATGTCAATTCGACTATTTCATTTTGATATTTCATTCTGAATTGTGCTTAATTACATTTCCCGTCTCATATATTATCAAGCTCTAGCAATTAAGGATTTAAGGTGCTTCTTACATTTCTGTTTTTCTAATTCAATTTTGGAGCAATGTTTTTGGAGTCGCTTGGTCACTGTTTATGGTTTTAATGGCATTTCTCTAAAAGTTCTGTTTCTCCTTCATGCCTTTCTCTCGTTGTTTCGCTGTTGTTCAGTTTTTTATTTTTGGGGCCGGAGGATTTGGATTTCAATCTCAGCTCATGCTCGATCTTCGACCTGGGTGTTTTTGTGGTTCAATTTTAGATTTTTATGGTTTTAATGGCATTTCTCTTTCTCCTTCATGTCTTTCTCTTTTTATTTCGCTGCTGTTAATTATTTTTCATGCTCTTACTGCTCTATTTTTGTGGTTCAATTTAATTTTTTTTTTTTTTTTGAAATTGCACGGTGGTACACTAGTATCTAAGGTTCCACTTTGGAGGTTGAGGTTAAGGACTTGATAATATATGAGATCGAAACTGGAAAATGTAATTAAGCACAATCCGGAAGGAAGATGTGATATTTCATGAATCAACTGAAGCAAAAATCATACTAAAACTAACAGAATGCATGGGAACAAGCATTAACAATCAGGGATAGGACACAAGGAGCTTTTGTTTATACTTAAAAAAACAGTCACTTTAATTTGGCTTGGTTTATTTTGTGAAATCATGGCAACGGATCATCAGCAGAGATAAGTGAATCATAGAAATGGCCTAGGTTAACAAGTAAACTTGTCCACAAATCCTTTTGAAGTAGTTAAATCACAAAATAACCACCGCTGACTTTTTCCTTCTCTACCACTCAATAAATTAAACCAAACAAAACAAAATACTACCTCCCTCCCAACGTTTTTGACAAATATGACTTTTTTTAGTAAAACTGAATGAAGTTTGAACTTTAATTATATAAAACCTATAGCGTATATTTGTATAAAAATGATTTCATTAGATATATCTTGCAAAGAATATTCAAAGTTTTATTTCATTGTATTAATATGCAATACAAATTTAGAGTAATTGATTATTAAGGTTCATCCAGCTTGACTCAAAAAAGTCAAACTGAACGAATATATTGGGACAAAGGGAGTACTAGTATACAAAGTTCATTGAGGAATATAAGGATTAGATGGACCTTGCCTGACCCAACGGCTTGAACCTGACTGGAATTGTCTTCACCCGTAGTGTCACCCTTCCCTTTATGCTCTTGATTCCCGCCCCCCCCCCTCGGGTCACATGCCATCTCCTGGTCAAAGCAGCCATCATTTTTTGATGTTGTTGTGGCACGTCTTTGCCTTATTTGAGCGTGCAGTTGGGTTTGGTGTGTCTCATACTCTCTTATACTGCACCAAGCATGTGTTGTGGAACTGCAACATTTGAGGATCTAAACAAATTTATAAGTTCAAAACAGTTACTACTTTCACAAACCAAGAAGTAAAACAGACATAGGCCTTGAGATGGAGGATAAAACTTACATTTATGTGTGAATAGCTTGCTATGAAGAATGAATTTGATGAACAAGAAGACAATTGAGCAGGATAGATCTAGCTCGGTTTATTGCAGTGAAGCACAGACATAAGTGCACCTCAAGACAAGTAAGCTGCTCTAAAAAACTCTTATTCCTTCTTAGCAGTTGCTTCACAACCTCCTGAATGATGTATTTGTCCATGCTTCTCTCAAGCACAAACCTAACATCACGCTTGAAGTCCTCCACTGAATTATGCAAAGGATCAACCAGACAATCAAGGGTTTCAAGGTTATTATCGAGGACAAAAGTTTCCCTCGAGACATCATCAAGCTGCACTAGATGGGCTGATTCTTTTTTAGTTATCTTCAAAGGAATAAAAGCAGGACAAATAGGGGTCGCAAACAGAATAATGAGGACAGGAGTAGCTATCAGAATAACACAAGTGACCACTCCGACAACAGCTACAAGAAAACATATTGCAGTGGCATGACGGGAAAGGTGAATCTTTGAGCGCGAGTTTTCAATCCAAAGGTCAATCTGTTTCTTCAGCTGGAAGTAGCAATCGTGCATATCTTTAAAAATGCTGTGGGAATCTTCACTGGGGAATGGATTATCAAGCTCGTCAAATTGACGAAAAACTTCTAATGCTGTATCACATTGGTCTTGACAAAGAGAGTAATTGGCCACCACGTCAATGTCTAATGGAAAGGTATCCGCAAGCCTTTGGAGTGGGTCACATAAATGACGAGCATGGTGCATGCATTCTGAAAGAAGCAGGCATTTCCCGGCAGTTTCCTCGCTCTGGTAAAAGAAGTCAGAGACAACTTGGGTGAAGGTGTCAACTCTAATTTCAGAAAGTGCTTCTTTTACATCATAATGGCTTGGTTTGAGTACACCCTCTATTTGCAAGGGCTCCTCAAAATTAACTTCGGTTACGTCAACATTCTGTTCAGAAGGGGTGTCCAGATGAATCTTGGTCCATATCTCACCAAAGGAGGGGGTTTGAACAGCAAGAGTATAAGCACGTGTAAGGTTGACCGTAGGAGATGTTTGGACACTTGATTGTGGGATGACTTCCATATAATACAATCCTGTGTTGTTATGAAATGTGAGTAAGACGGTATGTTTTTTAGAGATGAAGATTAGCACAATTGGAAGTTAGGGGGATTTGATCATGAAACTTACCTCCCAAACTGGAAAACGCTCAATACAACAAAGATTTAAGCTTCGCCCATAATACTGGTACACATAGAACACAAATGTGTTCCAAATAGAGACAGTCCTTAACTTCAATCTCCAAAGTGGAACAATTCAATGAGAAATCCAGAAATGACAACAAATATTCAATCTTTCTGGAACAGTTGCTGGAGAAGAACCAGAAGTAACAGTAAAGATCAACAATCCAGTATCAGAACATCAAACTGTCAGTAACAGAGGAACACAAATCAGCTAATATCGACTAGAAATCACTTAATTAAAAAGAAAAGGATTCAACTTAGACGCTAACAATTTTAGTTTCATATTACCATACACTACATCAATCAAAATATCATGATAAAGAAGATTTAACAATTCGATCAAAATATCCTAATAGAGAAGATTTAACAATTCAATCCATATATCGTGATAGAGAATATTTAACTATTCAGTAAGACTTGAGATTAAAAAAAAACAAATCCAAGTGCTAACAAATCTAATCTATTAGTCATGGGTGAAGCTGAAATTACAAACAAACAAAGAAAGAAAGAAAGAAAGAAAGAAAACAAAGGTCTGAGCAATTTTCTTTTTTATTACTATAATCCATTTTCTTCATTCTCTACCCTTAGTTCCAAATCCTTCGTCAATTTCAATATTTTTCACAAGCAATTGCAAGTAAAACTTTTGGAGCATGTAATCGAGTAAAGAAATTACCATTAAAACTTTAAAGAAGGTTGGGAAATCCTAAGAATAGCAGAAATCTAAGAGATGCATAGAAGAACATGGTAATTTAATCCTGGAGGAGCTGCCGGAGACGGGATTTGACGTAGTCCCTGCGGGCCTTGGCGCGGGCTTGTTGAGGGGCTATGTTGGCGTAGGAAAGGTAAGCGCCGGCGCAAATGAAGGAGACTCCGACGACGACACCGCAGAGAGTGAGAGAGAGCTGCTTAGGCGTTGGTGGATATGACCATAGCACCATTCTTCTGCGAGGGAGTTTGGGGGTTGTAAGGGGATAGAAAAGAACAATGGTGGGAGGAGAGTGGTGATGACTGATGAGTCTTCAACTAGGGTGGGAGCTAGACGTGGCAAAATTGACCCGACCATAATCCTAAACTAATACTCCTGTAATTCCGGAACCGAACCCGAAGTGACCCAATAACTAAATAACTAAAGAATCGAAATAGAATCGAACACCCGAAATGATTCGAACCGAACTATATTTAAGATTTAACTCGAACCGGTTAAACCCGAAACCGATTAAACCCAAAATTAATCAAATTCAATAATATTTCATTTATCAGATGAACTTGAAGAAAAAGAATTGCCGATATAGTTTTACATATGTTGATGTGTTTCTAAAAAAAACATATTTAAATTATCAGTGTAAACTGTGGAACTACTTTCATGTATGAATCTTTTACTTCGTATTATATTACTTAATTTAAATTGTTTTTGTGTTTTATCATCTTCAAACTCAAAGTTTGACCAACATTGTCTCTTCAAAAATATTAGCAAAAAATATTGAAAATAATACATTTAAAGTGTTTTCAATACCAATAATTGGATAATAAGTTTTACTCTGCATATTTTAATTCATTATATATTTTTATTTATAGTTATTCATATATTTGACACAAAGTAAAATGGATAGTTAAATAGAAATAGAGGAAATACGAAGTAGAATGTTAACTAAAAAGGTCGTGCTGAAACCTTTTCAGAGAGAAAACTTTAGAATGTAAACAATTAGTCAATTATGTAACCATTATTTTTTTATGTACGTTCGTGTTAAATAATAAAATAACTACGGAGTATGTCAAAAATTGACTAAATTTATTACTCCGTATGTGATATTGTTAATTTATTAATACGTTTAAAACTTATTCTTAAAAACAATGACATGTTTATTAATGCGGAGTATGTCTTAAATGACTAAATTTTTATATTCTTAAAATAAGAATGGAATTTTATAAAATACGGCTTACTATGCAGATTAAACGTTTGACATATAGATACTAATACATACACGTTTTAAACATTTTCTATTCTTAAAATAAGTCTTATTATATGTTTATATATGTTAACATATACATGTCAAATCTACACATGTTTATTGAATGATACTCATCAATTTATATTTAGACAAATAAAGAAAATGCAAAAATCTTCTAAATGAAATATTTACAATATAAATTTTCAAATTAGATTCACTATTTATTTGAAAAAATGTACTCCCTTCATTCAGAAAAAACATCCTTATTTGACTTCAGCATACGTAGTTTAAGAAAGTGTTGAAAAATAAAAAAAAACTTTATAGTTTGAATTTGTTTTGGAAAAAAAGAAGAGCTTTGAGTCACACATTCTTTTTTTAAAAGTCAATAAATTTTTTTAGACAGAAAAAAAAAGAATGAGTGAAGTCTTTTTTTGAACTTGACAAAAAATATAAAGTTTTTTTGTAGAATGTAGAAAGTAAGTATTTTCAAATTGATTAATTTAGTAATTAAGATTTAGAATTAATTGAGTAAAAGAAACTTTATGGATCTAATGGTAAATATAATACTCCATATTAATGTTGTGACAATAATTAAGTATGGTATATGTGGCTAATATAAAGTATTACTCATATTTTATTAAAATGTTTGTTGGAACAAATTAAAATAAATATTTATTGATGTACTAAAAAATTTATTATTTAATATTTAATCAATTTATTATTTAGTCAATATCACATTAAATGGCTTACTATGCAGATTAAACAAAGTTCTATAATTGACTAAATTTATTATGTGATATGTCATTAATTGACTAAATTCTATTCTTATATTATTTTATAAAATTCTATTCTTATTTTAAGAATAGAAAAATTTGTGTAGATATGAAACATTTCAAAATATTATTTTATCCAATTAATATACAATATGTATTTTATTTATTTATAAATCAAAGCTTGAAAATAGTTTACTGAAAAAAAATCAAAATTAGATAAATACTCAGGGAAGGATGTAGTGATGTTTAAGTGAATTTTTTGTTTTTATATTTTGACTGGATTATTTATAAAATTATCTTCACCATATATGAGTATTTTCAAATGACTTATATTTCCTTCAATTCATTTTATTTCAACGAAAGAATATATAGTTTATAAGCAGCTTATAAATTAAAAATTATTTATCATCACGAAAAAATACTCCATTAATGTTCTAATATGACATCTCTCACCTCCACCTTGGGATCTCTCTTAAAATGAAATCAATGTTCCTAATCCATTTTATCCCTTTTCTCTATGTTCTTGTCAATGCATCAGTTACCTCCCTTTAGTCCCTTAAATCCACTCAGTCTTTCTTAAAATGAAACCCAACTTTACTTTTTACCACCAACCTGTGATCAAAATCTAATTTACCTCTTTTCAGTTGTCATCTAGTTAGATTTGAAGGAGCCTTCGGAGATGAGGCTCATCTTTTTTTTAAATCAACTCAGTCCCTCTCATCCCTCATCCATCTTGCCTCTTGATAAAAATGTTATTTTATTAATAAACATGTCATAGTTTCTAATTTCTTAGAAACTATGACATGTTCTTTTCAAGAAAAACTATGACATGTTTTTTTCGAGAAAAACTATGACATGTTCTTTTCGCTTTAGTTTGAAAGATTACTAATTTCTGCATATAAAATACTAGTCTCTTGGTCTGAGTACATTTATCCACTTTGACTTTTTTGAATCAAACATGATGAACTTTAAACTTCAATTGAACAAAAATTGCAACGTATATTAACATAAACTTGATTTTTGTAGATTTATCTTATTGAGAATTTTCAAAATTTTATTTGAATATATTAATATACAATGTAAATTGAGAATAACTAAGCTCAAAATTTATTCAATTTGACTAAAAAAAAGTCAAACTAGACAAACATATCAGGACAAAGGTAGTAGAATCTAGAAGCTTGAGTCTATAAAGAATGTGGTTAAAGCTCTATTACCCCCCTTCCACCAAGGATGGGGTGCATCCTTTTTTTCATTCAAAACATCTAAGTAGAGAAGAAAAGTTTCCACATCATAAATTAGTTGCTGCAATTTATAGCAAATACAACAACAACAACAACAACAACAACCCAGTTAAATCCCACAAGAGTAGGGGCAGACCTTGCCCCTACTCGAACGTAGAGAGGCTGTTTCCAAAGAGACCCCCGGCTCAACATCGAAAGTTGCAGTGTTTGACTAACTGCTACTTCATTAATTAAAGAAGCGCAGATAGTTTAGAGATCCATTTTGATTTATTCCATCACACCCCAAAGCCAAAAATGGTGAAATTTTGACTCCATCGGAGATGATGGAAACAATTTATAGCAAATAATACATCATAAATTAGTTTTTGCAATTTGTAGCAAATAAAACAGAAATGGCTTTGTAAGGCTCCTTTCTACTTGTTTAAGAACAACATTACCTCAATGCCTTAAAAGCTACCGCTCATTGTAGGCTAAGGGGTCCGATCTACGTAGAGCGACCTCTATGTTTAGAGCATATGACCCATGATGAACATTGAAAGTTACATTGACTAACTGCATTTTACTATAAGAGAGCATTTCACAGTTTAAAGAATCATTCTGCTTTATCCGATCATGCCTCAAAGCCAAAAAAACAGTGAATCTTCTCCGGCTTTACCTCAAAATAGAGTATGTAATAAACTCTTTTGACGTGAATTGGAATGACTGAAGAGGAATGGGATTCCTGCAAAAAAAACACAATTCAATACTTCACTCCAAGAAAGGGTGGGTCCATGATCGTCAACAATTGGAGATGAATGACAAAAAAATGAGCATAAAATTGTTGAGACGCACGGTCGAGGCCCATAGACTTTAATCTGGCGGACATGTGTGTCCCTCCCGTTTAGATGGTTCGACAAAATTGCCACTTGCAACATGAAAGCATTCACAAAGGTTTCCCTAGGCATGGAAAAATGTATAGTCAACTGGTCCATATAATGATCTCACAATAATGAGGCAATGAAGTGTTTGTCTCATATGAAGCTCAAGAATTTATGCAAATGTGAACTGCATGGAATTCACACAAAAATGTAAATCAGTATTCTAAAAGCATATATTGCTCACCGAGGATCATTCCCTGACAACGATATGTACACCCAGCCACTTGGTTTGACAAGTTCCACTGATTTTATCTCCTGTCATAGTAAACGAAAAGCTCAAAATGCATCCAGAAAAAAAAAACATTCAGTATCACTAGATATGTGTATGTATTTGTGATCTTTTTGTGCTTATTTATATTGGTACCTTCAAGTTGTGGAAGCCATCACCAGCTCGTATTGAAATTTTATTAGGCGTGTAGCTCTCATCAAGCTTAAAATCTACATATAGAACTACCAACTGGAAGAGAGTCATAGCTGAAAAGAGTGATAATAACAATAGCACACCCAGTAAAATCTCACGGAGGGGTCCGGGGAGGGTATGTATATGCATACCTTACCCCTGCTTAGAAAGTAGGGAGGCTGCTTCCAAGAGATCCCAAAAGGGTAAATGCGACATGTTTTCTGAAAATGTGAATGAAAATAACAAAATAGATATCTAGCTATAGAAGTATTAAGTCACGTACTTGGAGCTTGACTTTCTTCTGAAATTGAATATTTACCAAATGTGGTTGTGTCCCGTCAGACCTAAACCCAATGTGAAGTGGGAAACACGCACACAAACAAACAGAGAGTTGAACAATCTACATTAAATAATTTTACACACCAAATGAGGAAGTAAAGAAATTATGAGTTCACTAACTGCCAAAAAGTATCAAGGTTGCCATCTCGAAGGGAAGCAACACCATTTCCAGCTTTCGAAGAGCTGACACTCCAGGCAGCCATCTTAGCCATCTCGCGAAGGTTATCATCAACCAGCAGTTGTTGGCTACCTCCAGTAAGCTTCCCTTCTTCCTCTCCTTCTGATGAATCACCCATTGAGTTCACTTTACTACACTGCAATTGTTATAGAAAATATCAGAGGGGATCTAATTGGGGTGATAAATTTTAATCAATTGAAGCAGAACTCTGGATTTTTTATAGCATAACAACATAATAAAAATAATAAGAGCAAGTCGTAAGAATCAAATTAAAACAAAAGAAACACAATAGGGCAACACTGTCAATGGCTATGGAATTCATTTCCATACCAAGATCAAAACTAGAAAGTTTTAAAATCTGTTGGGGTTGAACTCCAGTAATGCGCGCCAAGGCCTTCTGGTACTGCAAGATAAGTGCCATGACAAGGGGGTTTCAAGGTTTGGTTTGACTTCAAAAATTGAATGACATTTTTTGTGCAAAAGGTACTATCAATTACCAATGTTGGAGAAAAAATCAGAACCAGTATGACTGATGGGAACACGGGTCAGCCAGAAAGGCAGAAGTGTTTGGAAGATAAAGTATGATTATTGTGTGAGGTTGGATAAGAATCAAACCCTAGCATATAGAATAATGCACTGACTATTAAACTATGCCACGCACACAATATATTGGGGGTTTCCTCATATCCTAGTCTAAATTTATACTGCGATGTTAAAACTTCCTACTTTTGATCTTGGTACGGAAAATGATTTCTAAACACACATCCATGAATAATTTACGGTTATTACTCCAAAAAATTATGAAATATGCATATGAAATAAAGAAAAAAATGTTTGAATTCAATAAAAAATTATAGTATATTATTATGTATCAGAACTATCAAATTGGTATATAAAGAATTGATACAAACAAGGTACATGAAAGCAGATTTTGGTTTCAACTTTCAACTAAACAAATCATTCGGACGTTTGAATGCCATGATATCCATGAATGCCATGAATGGAGTCCAAGGATTTCAAACCATGAGAATCAATGGTCTACTTGGGAAAAGGTCAAAAGGACATTACACATGCTCATTGATTCTGGAAGTAGTCACAACTTCCTAGATAAACAATTAGCAAGACAGTTGGGATGTGAATTGGAACACATCATTGCTCAGCCAGTCACCATAGCTGATGGCAGCTCTATTCAGTGCAAATTTATTTGTAGAAAATTCAGATGGCAACTCCGGGGAGGTGAATTTATTTCTGATATGTTGTTAAATCCTCTAGGGGGATGTGATCTAGTCCTTGGGGTGCAATGGCTATCCTCCCTTGGAAACATCAAATGGAATTTCAAGACTCTCAGAACAGAGTTTACATGAGCAGGAAAGAACTACGTCCTTAAGGGAATACAACCAAAGAAAGTGCAAACCATGCTTGAGGGGCTACTCTCTCCAAATTAGCAACTACTCGACGTCACATCAGCACTCACCATTTCACTCGCTTCACAAATGTAGTGTCTCACATCCACTACAATTTACAACAGTTACACTTTTACTTTTTTTATAAAAAAAAATTACCTGTTTCTATTCAAATTAAATTTTTTCTTTTATAAAATAATAATACAAAGTAATAAAAATTATTTATTACTCCCTCCGTCCCACAAAAAAGTTCCCATTTTGACCATAAATTGGTCAAACAGTTACCCGCTTTGACCATAAATTAAATATAATCTAAATAAAGAAATGCTAATAAAATTTGAGTTATCAAAACTAGATCCTAAGATGAATCCAATTATATTAAATTTATTTTATAATTCCATATACCTTTCTCACAATTTGTAGTCAAAGCGTGTAAATATTTGACTAAATACTATTCAAAATGGGAACTTTTTTGTGGGACGGAGGGAGTATGTTTCAAGTTTGTTCTTTTTTTATTTTGTTACTAATATTTTTTCCTGTTTTGGATTATTAAATGAATTTAAAAAACCACACAAAATAATTAAATTAAAAAGGCATGAAGTACATGAAAGAAAAAACAATACAAGTAACACTAATTTAATTTTTGATTTTTCCAAACATGCTCTACTAAATTTGCTTTAAATTGTTGTGTGTTTCTCTATTACGGATTTGGGCGCGTCTTGCAATTCATTCATCACTGGTGACCTCTCAAACATTGTCATCACCCGGCTCGTAGTATGCACATATAACTAATCCCCTTATCTTCTAAATAACTAATCCCCATATCTTCTAAGATCATATTGTGTAAAATAATACACATGTACATGGTGTTTGATATTTTTTTCTCCCACATTCTTGCGGGATTAGCGATAATATGCAATAATTTCTTTAGAACACTGAAAGCGTGCTCGATATCCTTTCTAGTAGACTCTTGAGCTTTCTTAAAAAACACATGTTTCACATGTCCTTACATGGACAAGTAAACAAATCCACCGTTGTAGCCCAGTTCGGCTAGATACCATCAGTCAGATTATAACCAAAATTATACTCCATATCGTTGGTAATAAAAGATGACGTAGCTGCAACTCCATTAACGATATCATCAAAAATCGGAGACTGATCAACAACATTTTAATCATTACTTAATCCGCAAACTCTGAAGAAAGCATGTCGTATCCAAAGATCATTTGACGCTGCTGCATCAAACATCAACGTCAGGTGACTATGGTCACCCCATTGAGATTGCCCCGCCAAGCCGTTGGGCAAGTCGCCCACTCTCAGTGCATACAGTGTTAGGCGAATTGAGTGTGGAGGCTCAACCAAGAAGCGCAACCGGCCCTAGTCTTGGTTCGACCCATACGGCAGTAAATTAAGTTTTTCATTTAGCTGGCCCTAATTCTCTATGTGGGCTTGGACCTAACTTGGGGATTAAATTTTTAACCCTAGTTTAGTCTTCATAAATAGCAACCTCTGTACTTGTAATTCGGTGAGCACCTGAATAATAAAAACCCTAGTTGCAAAGTGGATTAGGTCCGCCGACCGAACCACTATAAATCTTGTGTTCCATTTTCTCCATTTTGATTTTTGTTTTGTGTGTGTTCTTGTTTGGTTGTGGTTTGCTATTCATAGATACCCCAACATACAGTCAATGCTACTAAGCATTCTTGGAAATCCATTCACCTCCTCGTGAACATGTATATTTTTTTAATGTCATTCCATAACGGTTTTCACAAAAAAAATCACCATATAGTGCCATGACACCTTTATATAATGGAAACTAATATTTTACACTATATATATTAGGAAAATTTTAATTTTTATAAGTTAAATATAAGAATTCATACCTTCGCAAAATTCGTAAAGTCTATCTTGTGTTTTTTCGAACATCTTCAGATATTCATTCCGAGAATCAGAACTTGTATCGTAAGCCATTGATGAATTGCATGTGTACACTATTCCAAATGTGTAAACCTAAGTTAACCTCTTCCATCGTAACGTTGTCGGAAGTACTCAAATTGTGCTTGCAAATCTTCAGCTATTCTACAAAAAAGAGTCGGCTCATCCGGAATCGTCTCGGGAATGCCAAGTCATTGTACGTTGGCTCAACACAAAAATAATCTTCTATGAGACACTGGTTTGCGGCCACACGATCTCGATTGATTTGAATTCGTCTTCTAACGATCCTTCTGTTTTTGTTTTCGTTGGCTCAGACTCACAATAATACATGCTGAGGTTTGCACTGCTTCTATAAATAGTTCGTCCTCACTAGACGAATTGGAAGAAAGAGTGTGCAAAAATCATCTTTTAAGTAGAATTTTTAGGATATGTGAAATAGAGAAATAAGGTTCCGTATGCAAACCAGGAAAATAACCTTTGGAAAATGACTTCAGGAAAATGAGTTAATTTCCTGAAGTCATTTTCCTTTTCTGTTGTTTTGTTAAAAATCTGAAAACGGTCTATTTCTGTTTGGATCATTTTCCAGAAAATTAATATCCAGAAAATGAATACCCCTTTGCCCACTTTGATTCTTCCCAGTTTGACTTTTATGGTTGACAAAAATAATACATTGGAGAAACTTTTCCAAACAGAATATTAATCTTTCAAGTTCAAGTACTACATTTAACAGCATGTAATATAGCAAAACCTACCCATCTTGAAAGGGAAGAACACATAAAATCCTAGCACAATACAAAAATGTTTAGGCACAATATTTAACAATGAATTGCAGTGCAAATCCACTTCAACTCTATTAGAAAAATACTACAAACCCACCAATCCTATTTCAAATATATTTGAAATAATACAAAATAATCAGATTCTTTAACAATATTATTCTGAAAAATGCAAAACAATTTAAATATATATTAAATCATATATTCTATAAAATTTCAGTTTCAGATTTGCTTTTATTGCGTACCTCCACCCTCTTCTTTAACAATAATATTTTTTCCCCAATTTGCTATAAATTTTTTTCGAAATTACAAGAATATAATAAAATTCAAAGAAAATTCTTAATTTTTTCCCCGGTTCTACAATTCAATATTATGCAAAAAAAAAACATAGATTATCAAATTATCAATATAAAATTCCTAATTTTTCTAAAAAAACAACAAAAAAGGAGAATAGAGAAGAGAGAACTAGAAAGATGAGAACTAGAGAGAAGAGAAAGAAGAATCAAAGGGAAAGAGAGAAGAGATGAGACATACCTGGGACGAAGAAGGGAGAAATCGAGGAGGAGATTGACTGACTGAAGAGGATCGGATGAGGAAGTTGAGCGAAGAGGCGGAAGAGGAACGACAGTGTGAATCCGCTAATTAGAATGTATTTTCCATTGACCAAAACTTATTTTCCATTTGACTTCCATTTTCCTCATGATACCAAACACTGGAAATATGAAAATGACTTTGAAAAGTTATTTTCTTGGTTTACCAACGGACCCTAAGTGAATGAGTTAAAAAATAGGGATATGCTAGGGGTACACACTCCAAATGTACACCACTTTCCTTTCTACTATTCATTTTATTTTGTTTTTATTTTTCATTTTTTTTTTGAATTTTTCTTGTCTTTTTTTGTGGTGATGGAAGGGGTGGGGAATGTTTGGGGTACACTTTTGGTGTACCCCTAGCATTTTTCTAAAAAATATACTCCCTTCGTTCACTAAAATAATTCCTATTTTAACTTTTACAGAATTTATTGTGTTCATTGGACTTTCTAATTAAATCATTAGTGTCGAAAATAAAAGAGAGACAAATAACTTAAATAACTTGTTATATCAATGCAAAATAAATGAATTATATTGCAATGACATTATTTTGGAAAGTTTATCTAAGTAGTACTAAAATATAATGACTTTCCCAATGTAATATCATATGTTTTTATTTTTCAATTTAGTATCACTGATCATTGTCCATTGGTCATTGTTCAAATCAATGTCCACCACCACTGGACATTGTTCAAACTAAAAGTACATCATGACTGGACATTGTTCCCGCAACTAGACATTATTCAAATACTCCGTATTATTTAGAGAATAAAAAAATTTAGGTACTACATTGAGAAATAATATACGGAGTATGTTTTAGTACTATTTAGGGCAAATTTCACCTTTTTAAATATATTAGTCATTCTAATAAAAAAAAGAAGAATTTTGGTGAAAGCAAAAAAATGAGAGATGAAGGATTTTAGTGAACAGATAGAGTATAAGATTGGATTGTTTAAATAGAAAAAAGATTAAGAAGGTTTGAAATTTGAATTTTAAAAAGAATTTTTTAAAAAAGAGGTAACCGTGGTGACACGCGATGTGGGACTGCTTCGGCAAACCACGGGAGATATGGCGTGGGGCATTACAGAGAGCCTAAGAGACCATTTTTAAAAGATTAATCCCTATGAATCTCAGATAAAAACCATTTTCCGGCAAATCCCAACCGCTTAATATATAAAGCAATGATGCAGCATAACTATAAGGCAACAACAACAAAAAAACACTTCAAAATACTAAGAAGAAAAAAAAAATATGGTTTTAGGTCTTCATAATTTAGCCAAATCAAAGAGTTTTACCCATTCCCAGGGATCCAAAAATAAGAAAACATGCAATAAAATTCTCAACTGTTCTCTAAATAATCAATGTAGACTAAAATGATGTAAAAAGGCTAAAATGATGTAAAAAGGAATCGCAGCCTCCTTCCTCTTCTTCCTCTCTATCTCAGGTACTGTCGGTGGGAATTGGAGCAACATCCTCTGTAAATAAAGAGGGAATGAATTTGTTGTCATGAATAGCTTCAAATGATCCATAATAATAATTCACTAAATTGCGATTTGCAAAAAGTGATCTTCTTTAAACTCCATCCATAGAAAGTATTTTACATACTGAAAAGCATGCAGAGACAAGTGAAGTGAAGCTAAAGTGACATTTTTAACTATGCAAAGAAAGATATACTTTTATTACTATACCTATGCGTCCAATTTTCAGGCCAGAACGAGCAAGGGGTCTCAAAGCAGATTGGGCACCAAGTCCCGGTGCATTCCTCGTGTTCCCCACACCTGTAGTGGTTTGGAATTTGATATGAAGTGCAGTTACTCCAAGTTCCTTGAAAAATAAAGAATTGCCAATTCTTAAAATCAGATTTTGATGTATATATATATAGAGAGAGAGAGCGCAACATTGAAGTGCACGTTGAATAATTGAAACTTCAGAAAACAATTGATCAATGCAAATCAAACAATAACAGGTACGCACCTTGCATTGCCGCGCAACATTTTGTGCTGCAAGGCTTGCAGCAGAAGGAGAGGAGGATTCATCTCTGTCAGCTGCTTCTTGTGCTGCAAGCATTATCTTTTTAATGGCATACACTACTCATTTTACTTTGCAAATATTTAGGACTCAATTCAGAATTAGACTAATATTGTACACACACAGACACACAAACAAGTTGTAAGCAAATCGGGGGAAAAAGTGTATCATGAGCTAACCATTGAAAGGAAAGTAAAAACCTATACTTTATAATACTTTCATCTCCAGTGATAAACTAATGTCAATACCCAAAACTGGAAAAGAAAACCGTCGGTAACTTTAGTGACATCGGCTATTTTATGTAATTGGATTTACTTAGATTGGACAAGAATTTTAATAAATGTTGTTAGTAAATTCGAAGGTGTGGAGTGCACGCCCATTGAGGAGGGCGGCTGCCCCCGGGTAGCGGGGTCCAGGGGACAGAGCCCTTGGCCAGGGTCGAGGGGCTAAGACATGTTGGAAAATTTGTATTTTTGACATTATTGCTTTATGGAAATCCTTAAGATTTTCGTAAACAAAGTCTAAAATGAGTAACATTTGAATGTGTAAAGTGATCATTCGAATGTAGGCATTTTCCAGACATCACTCTTTGCAGAACATCGTTGAACATTCAAATGTTGTTAGAAACATTCGAATGTTTGATGATAACCTGAAGCACCCCTTGTTATCTGCTAACATTCAAATGCCAGTATTCAAGCATTCGAATGTTTAACAATAAGTCACGCTGATTCGCGCGTAAATCATTGCAAACATTCAAATGTTTGAATAAAACATTAGGATGTTTACATGACAGCTGGTGGTGTTTTTTCACACATAGTCATGTCCAATCACTCTTTTCTCTATATCTATAGAGAACCACACTATGTTTGAGATACAAGAACATCTATACTCGTCTTAAATTACTTACGTCTTATCCGATTAAAGTATTTTGGTATACCCCAAAATAACTTTGATAGTGTTTCTACGCGATTTGTCAAGTCTATCTTCATGTTTTCTCTATACCGATTCTTCATTACACCCCCTCCCAAAATTTCCAACAAAAACTACAATACCTCAAGCATAGAGTAATAATGATAGACCTAAATCATACACTAGAACAAAAAATACAGAATAAGACATGATCATTAAAACATATCAGTGATATGGACAAGGGTTTCTCTACCAGACAAATCTGTAACATGCTGACGGGAAAAAAACAAATGGTTTAACGAATCATAATCACGTTTCAGGATAAAAGACTAATTTTTTTTAAATGATTGGCTCATCGAATAATCAAAGAAAATGCCAGAAGACTTACAATGGAAGTATCATTCAACGATGAAGAAATGTGAGCAACGCCAAACACCTTTTCCATGCATTGAGACCAAACATCATGACTAATCGGTCGGTAATTAAGCAGTAAATTTCAAGAAATAAAATTCTTGGAAACTCAAAACATACAAATCCAATCAATTTTGAGATAGAAACATCATCTCATTACAATTCAATTATGAAAAATTTGCACTAAATAGCAATAAAACATAAGTCATTTCCCAATGTAAGACTTAAACTCTTTTATTCCCTAAATAGGACTTAATAATGTCTAGTGGGAGAATAATGTCATAGTGGACATTTACTTGAATAACGACTAATTGATAACGACCCATGGTCCTACATTGGAAAATAAAAACATATGATCCTCTGTATTGAGAAAGTCATTATGTTTTAGTTCTATTCACGTAAATTCCCCTTCAATTATACCTCTCTCCAGCAATGCTAGGGGGGTACATACCCCAGATTATAGCCTACAACCTTTTTAACCATACAATTCTTTTTTCCACTTTTATTTTTTTTTTATTCACACCAAAAAACATAAGCTACTAATTCTTATTTTAACTCATCGCATCATTCTATTATGAAGTATACATCAATATCTTATTTTTATTCATTAAAAAAAATTTAAAAGTTAGTTACAAAATACACGGACCTTAAATTTGCCAAAAGTTAAAATCAAAATTGTTTTTTTTCAAATGGGATAAAGTATAAACTTATATGATTAAGCAAATGAAACTTGGATCGCAACCCACACATAACCAATATATCTTTATGAGAGAGAGAGAGAGAAACCATGGCTGGTTGGACCGCTGGGGTTAATGAAGAAGAAAGTGAGCAGCAACTTGGAAGCTTGAAGCCCTAACCCGAGGGAAGAAGATCGCGGTTAATTAGAATTAGGATTACTGACAATTAGTTAGATTTTGTGAGAAGTGCTTTATTGTTGACAATCTCCTAATATATACTCCGTATACGGAGTACATGGAAAGAAAGACCTAACCACGGCTCATTAATTGTCTAAGCCCATTTTCATAAAGAGTACATTTGATACACAGAATTTACGAAATTAGAATTAAATTAGAAGTTGAAATTTCATAGGGTAATGTAACGTAATAACTTATTGTCGTTTAAATTTAATTAATTAATTCTTATTAATTTACTTTTACAAAATGTGTATTAAAAAATTTAAAGAAAATAAAGGATTGAAGCACCAATTTGAAGCCCAAGAGGCTTGAAACCCATTTTTACTGAAACTATAAGGCTCCGTTTGGTACACGGAATTCGAACTATGGAATTGGAATTGAGGACTTCAATTCCAATTCTCGTGTTTGGTAACACAAAAATTATGTAGATTTGAAATTCGTAGTGCAAAAAATGAATTAGAATTGGTGAATTCAATTCTATGGAATTGAATTCCATGAAATTTTAATTCCAATTCAATTTCAATTCCATCAATACCGTGTACCAAACGGACCATAAGGTAAGTTAAAAAAAGTCAAAACAGATGTGAGAGAGAGAGTTTGAAGCCAAGGCTTCAAACGTATTTCCAGTACTCTACGTAACGTATTACTACAACCTTGTCTAGTCCCAAAGCTAAGCATCCCCTACGACTAGGGGGTCAAGCAAACACTATATTTCAATGTTTTAATCCAACTTGGTTCCTGACCCAGGGACAGTACGATGCGCCATTTGAAAAATAGATGATTTTTACTACCCTTAGCTTCCTCGATAAACCACCCTTCCCTCACCCCGACCAACCCCCCCCNCAAAAATTTGTTATCTATGGATTCAGAATTTGACTCCAAACTCAACAAAATTTGTGAGATAAATTGGATGGGGTGAGGGTGGGTTCGTTGTAGGGCGGGATCGAGAGGTTTATTGAGGAAGTTAATGAGGAGAAGAATCGTGAATTTTTTAAACAGAATCATCAATTCCATGACATTGCTTAGCAATGTCATATAAACCTCAAAGTACCCCATGTGCACACCACCACTCTTAACCATTAATTCTCTTATTTATTTTCTTTTATTTATATCTAAATTATATAGTGAAGATAATTTGAGATACATTTTTTAGTGTACCCTTAGCCATATTTGAACATAAAATACAAAACGCTTATTGTTTCAACATTCTCTTGGAGAAAATAATACACCTCTGGTATTATTTAGGGAGTACCCTCTAAACTACCCATTACAAAATCTAATTTCACCCATGAGAAAACAAAATCATTACTCTGTAAAGACGAATAATATTTATGAAAAATAGATAAGTAAAATAGTTTTAAGTAATTAAAATATGTTTAAAAACTAAAAAGTAATAAAAACTGAGAAAAAAACAAAACTTGCCATTGGAAAAAATGCCAATGCTCAAGAGATTAATAGCCGTCCTACCTAACCCTCTAAATAAATCACAAAACCTTGCCTGGTACCAAAGCACGGCATCCCATCCAGGGGATCAAATTTTATTCCTAGCACCAAAACAATTGGCACAGATAGGTCAAGCTGACACTACATTTCAAAAGAGTTGCAACTAAAAAGGATAAAGAACAAACAATGTTTTAATCCAACTGGTTCCCGACACCAGGACCCTAAGATGCTCCTTTTGAAAAACTGACAATTCCTACTACCATTAACCCCCCTCAGTAAAGCCCCCTCCCCTCACCCCGGGCAAAGCTCACCCCACACCCCCCACTTTCTTCCATTGCAACCCCAAAATTTTATTGCCTTTGAGTTCAAAATTTGATTCCAAAGTCAACAAAATTTGTGCGACAAATTGAATGGGGTGGGAGTGGATTGAAGTCAGGCCAAGACTGGGAGATTTATCAAGTTAACGAGGACAAGAACTACCAATTTTTTGAGCAGAGCACCGTGCACATCGAGTCATTTTTAAACATGAATTTTGTTTGAAACATACATTCAATAAGCTTCAAAAAAACATGCAATGCCACATCCCATACCACGCCTCAACGAGAATGATGCTCTTGGTTTAGTACTAGGCAAAAAAATCATACTTGTAGACTTGCAACCAGAAGCATTAAAAAAAGATAATTAGTATAAAATGAGTTATTCTTGTACTTGTACCACCCCAGAAAATCAACTGAAACAGAAGAAATTCAGCTGACAAAGTAAAGAATGGTCGTTTATATGTGGAACTATAATGCAATACCCATCAAGCACTTGATCAGCTAGACAGGCAATTTAAAATTCATAGTTCCATCCACAATACGCAACAAAATAAGATATAGAGCAATGATGCAGCACAACCATAAGGCAACAACAAGAATCACTTTGAAATACTATGACAAAAAGGAGATAGTCTTAGGTCTTCATAATTTGGCCAAACCAAAGAAGTTTCACCATTTTCACAGATCCAAAAATAAGAAAACATGCAATGAAATTCTCAACTGTTGTCTAGATAATCAAAGTAGAACACAAAGGCATATGTAAAATCCCAACCACAAAGAAAATATAGGAATCACAGCCTCCTTCCTCTTCTTCCACTCTTTCGGCGGGTGCTGTCGGTGGGAATCGGAGTAACATCCTCTGCAGATAAAGAGCAAATGAATTTGTTAGTCAAATGTGTAGAGCATGTGTAGTGACAGAATCATGAAAGACCAATAAAAACTGTGAAGGGGAAAAACATTAACAGAATACTACTCTTATCTTAGTAATTGGTATCCTGAATAGCTTTAAATGATAATAACGCAGTAAATTTCAGTCCATAATTCCCTAGAGCTAACATTACAATGAAAATTGAGATATATTGTACCTATGCGTCCAATTTTCATGCCGGAACGAGCAAGTGCTCTCAAGGCAGCCTGTGCACCAGGTCCAGGTGTCTTTGTCTTGTTCCCGCCTGTAGCTCGGAGCTTGATATGCAATGCAGTTATTCCAAGTTCCTTGAAATAAATAGTCAGTTCCAAATCAGATTACGAAAACCCAGAAATAAAAATGTTGAATAATTTATACGTTAACAAATGCATCATACCTTGCATCGCTGGGCAACATCTTGTGCTGCAAGCATAGCAGCATAAGGAGAAGATTCATCTCTGTCGGCTTTAACCTTCATACCGCCTGCATTTCAAAGGCAAACACTACACATATTTACTTTCCAAAACTACAAATTACAACATAAACATATCTTTAGGACTCAATTCAGAACAGACTAATATACAAGAAAACAAATTGTCATCAAATCAAAAAACTAGTAAAACATGCATTAACCATGGAAACAGATATTATATGATACTTTGATTTTCACAGATAAACAAATGCCAATACCCAAAACTGAAAAAGTATGAATACTCAACCTTCACAGATATTATATGATACTTTGATCTTCATAGAGTAACAATGATAGGCCTAAATGAAAAACTCAAATAAAAGTACAAAATACGAAATGATCATTTAAGCATACCAGTGATACGGACAAGGGTTTCTCTTCCAGACAAATCCGTAACGTGCTGAAGAAAAAAACAAACGGTTTGGGGAATTATAATCAAGATTCAAGATAAAAGACTGGGTTTTTTTATACGATTGGCTAATCGAATAATAACAGCATACATCAAAAGACTTACAATGAAGGTATCATTGAAGGAGGCAAAAATGTGCGCCACACCAAACACCTTCTCCCCGTCCCTTATCGCAGGTCCAAGAGTGACATTGTCCTCCTTGGGCTCTCTGTTCCTTCTCTTCGACTACAGATCCAATGAAACCAAACATCAAAGACTAATCGGCCAGTAATAAATCAGTAATTTTTCAAGAATTCCATTTCTCATAAAGCTCAAACCATAGAACTCTAGAAGTTTTGATGTAGATATATAGTCGCATTAAAAATCAATAATAAATATGAGAGTATCTTAACGAGAGAGACAGAGAGCGAAGAAAGAGCACCATGGCTGGATGGCTGGATTGGATGAAGAAGAAAGGGAGCTGCAACTTCGAAGCTTGAAACCCTGGCCTCCGAATGAATTAGGGTTTGTTAGAGGGGTACATATAACATACCGATGTCGATCCGTATATCTTTTGGGCTTGAGTTGAAGCCCATTCTGGCGGCCCACTTGTGAAAATTTAAAAACCAAAAAAAAAAAATTGAAAAAAAAAGGATTGACAGCTGTGGGATTTGAACCCACGCCCTTTCGGACCAGAGCCTAAATCTGGCGCCTTAGACCACTCGGCCAAACTGTCTTGGTTGCTCCTTCGTGGTGACCAACGCAAATTATGCAATACATAGTACTTCCTCCGTCCCCCACATATTTTCCCAATAGCCCTTTTTCTTTGTCTACAATAAATCTTCTCATTTCATTTTTTAACAATTAAAATACCACAACTACCCCTACTTACTTTATTTATTATATCTCACCCACCTAATTTAATACACTCCACCCATTTTCATTAAGGGTATTATGGTAAACTTTCACCTTTTTTTCAACTCTCCTTTAAAACTACCAAAAGTCAAAATGAGAACATCTTAGGAGGACGGAGGGAGTAAATACGTAGCAGTTTCTTTGATCTGGATATAATAAATTTAAGATTTTTATTGAATAACACTATCCTTTCTAAAGGAGATACTTGACAACTTTAGTTGGGGTGAATGTAGATGTTTGATCCTAGTAACCATTTATAACACTCGAAATGCTTTGTATTGGAAAATCATAATAAAAGTATTTGAACATTAAAGGTACGTTTGGATTGAGAGATATAAAGTTTTATTAGGTAGGTAATGAAAGGTAGATAATGGAATGTATATAAAATAAGGTAATAAGTTGAAAATTTGTGCTTGGATATTTATTATGTAATGTGAGGTAGGTAAAATAATAAAATTACTTAAATATCCTTGTTCTTGATTTTCTTTATTCGGTTCTTGGAGTAGCTTCCGTCGATTATAATTGACCTTATACATAAAATTACATAATATTCTAATTACGTAAAACAATACTCCCTCCGTCCTATATCTTTCTTCTCGTTGCGCAAAACGAAAAAAAATCCCAAGTTTTTTCAATCTATTTTATTTAAATATTGGTGTAGAAATAAAAAATAAAACATGCATATTTAAAAACTACATCAAAAGTTCAACAAAACAAGTGGTGACAAGAATATTTTATTTTATCATATAGGCCATGAAAAAAACACAAATAAATATAAATTCCCGTGAAGTTGGAATAGTGCTCTGGGAAGAAAGTTTTAGGACGGAGGGAGTATTTTGATAAATATTTATAAGTTAAATGTAATAAAAATATTGCATCAATTGCAAACATTCTACTTCAACAAACAGATGAAAAATATACAAAAAAATTTTAAACATCAATTTCAAAGATTGTATTTTAACAAACAACAAAAAATACACAAAAAAATCTTTGCATAAATTTCAAACTTTCTAATTCAACAAACATAAAAAAAATACAGAAAAAAATTTCTTTTGCATCAATTTCAAAGATTCGATTTTAACAAATAGCAAATAAAAACGGAAAAATAGCAAAAAATAAATGACAAAAAGAAAACTTGAAAAAAGAAAAAAACAGAAAAAAACAAGAGAAAAAACACATACTTTCTTTAATTAGCAAAAAAGTAAAAAGTCTATCAAAAAATCTTACCGGATGTGGAGATCGGCCATGGCAGATGATGATGATAAGAAGAAGAAGAAGAAGAAGGCGTAGCAAAATCGGTGGACGAATATATTCCACTGTTACGGGATACCTCTATCCCCCCAAACAAGGTAATTTTTAATCTTATCTTATTCTACCTCTCCCTCCCTCCATCCAAACACAGTGTAAATATTTTTTAGTCATTATGTGGACTTGTGGACCAATGCTCATGCTAATATTCGAATACTACCAAGAAAGTATTCGAATGCTCAATGCATTCTGAATTTCTATAACATTTTGTTTGCCTTAAAAAAAATGAATACTAAGGTATTACAATCAAATGTTTTTATTAGGCAAAAGGAAATTGATCTATTCTCGATCTCAACCATTCAAATTAAGAGTTAATATTTCCCATTATGTAAAAGTGTCATCCTAAGGATATCAAACTTCATTTTCCTCTTCAATGAGTTATTCAAATACTCTTGGGAATTTTCATTAGTCCATTCCTAAGGATATCACTTCGGACATTAATATTACAGAACTTGTTCTTATGCACCTCTTATTTAATAAAATTTTTAAAATTATTTTTAGATATGTAAATTGATTATAATTTTAGTTAAATGTCACTATACACACACACACACATAATTTGGTTCAGATTAAATAATGTACAATGAAAGAAATGAGAATGCATATGATCTTTGAAATTTAAGATCTAATGACTATTCAAAATAAAAAATATGAAAAATACGGAGTATAAAAATCATGGTAGCAATTTTTTAAATAAATAAAACTTTTCTACGAGTTCTAAAAATGCATTGCTATAAATGTAAAGTAAATCATAGTGGCCCAAAAATGCACCATTATCATTTCTCGCAGCGAACACCATTCTCACCTTGACCGGCCTATATATATATATATATATATATATATATATATATACACACACACACACACACACATTTATCTGTTTTTTTCTAGAGAAGGAGAGAATGGAAAGTGATAGAAAAGTAGAAAACGGCCCAAAAGGAGAAAAAAAGAAATTTCTTGCTTTCGCTTCAATCGACAACACTCTCACAGAAAAAACTCAGCAAAACGTAATCTCTAACTCGTTCGTCATGCAACAAAGATCTCACTCTATAATTCTAGAGGCTATCCTCACAATATTGCTTTCACCTCCTTAAGTCTAGTACATGTGCTTCAAGCTACTCTTCTTTACTGATGATCAGCTTACGAGGGGATATTAAGAATAGTAGATGTATTAGGAAATAAGATATTTTTTATTATAACCTTCCTTATTATATTACTTCCTTGTTGTATTGTTACTATAATTCTTCTCCTACTATGATTAAAATTTTCTTTTGTAATCCCTATATATAGCGACATATCCTTCATTAATCAATGCGATCAATTATTACCAACTTGTATCAAGGAGGTTGAAGATTAACACATGCTCATGGAAATATCACAACTCCACAGCACAATGATTACTTTATTCATAATCTTTTAACAAGAAAGAATCTCTAGAAGGTAGAATGATCATATCACATGCTCTCATATCACCAGTATGAGTGGATGGAGCATTTACAATCACGTCTGTGGTTTACAATACACAGGTGCTATACATACAGTGATACAGGCAATTTACTGAGGGGGTATGCTATTTTAAGTTGGAAATAGAAAGGAAGAAAAAAATGTTAGAGTTGCACATAGAAGATGCTTATTTTGGAGCAAACATGGGATAAAGGTAAACTCGCAGTAGATCCATTCACAACAAAAGCCGATATAATCTCAACTCTGCCATGACAATATAACCGCGCCTTCACCCTGCAACAAGCCGTGTGCTTCCGTTAGATCCTTGATGCATTCATGCATCTATAACACAACATTAGCAAAAAAGTATGAAGCGGTGTAATTTTGTTTACTTAGGTTGCGTTCCGTTCGCCGGATCCGATTCGATTTTTTGAAGATCTGATTTGGTTTTAATAAGAATAAGTAATAAGCTGAAAAAATAAGTTGAACGGAACGCAGCCTTAGTATATTATGTACCAGAGCTAAACATTGTCCACAATAACTCGTTTAGCTCCATTGATAATGGACATGAGTAGATTCATTCACAAACTGGGAAAACAAAGGACATCATAAAAATGATTTTCGATATGTTACCTAATCAAATGGATCAATTCGAGGGTCGTGCTCGCTTGCCATCACCATCCCGGTGCAAAGGCATGTAGGGCACATCACCTTGGGTAAATAAAAACAAAGGTTAATCCCCCTACAGCAATCAGCTAAAGTTGGCATATAAGAAAGCAAACTGGTGAGGCAATATAAAACTTGTAGCTTTGATGCATGGAATCAGGCAGTGCAAACTAGATAAAATTTATTTCTCCCTTAAAAAAGAAGACTAGATAATTGGTTGATCCCAAAAGTTAACGAACAAAAACATATCCTTCATTTTTCTGACACTGGACTTACAGACAGGTCTACAAAACTTGGGGATTATACATCATGGTACATGAAACGTACCTTTCCTGCTCCAGAGCAATTTTGGCATCTTTGAAGAGATGGGTTGGAAGAAGCACCATTTACTGAGATGGACTCCGCTTGCATGCATCTACCGCTTCCAGAACAACGTGCACATGCCAGGTACCCTGCTTACATGATCATGTATATACAACAGATAATCGCAAATCCTTTAAAAAATCTCTAATACCATCCAACTGTAAGGTTCAGATCACAAGGATACACCATAATAGGATAAGAAAAATTAAGCTGTGTTACAACTAGGATCTAGAGAGAGAGAGAGAGAGAGAGAGAGAGAGATGTACCACTTCCAAGGCAATATTTGCACCTTTTCTTCTCTTGTCGGACTACATTGTTACCTTCAATTACCATCAAGCATGAAATTACTCCTACTGCCCCACCTGAAAATGAGGCCACTATGGGGTCTACCTGGCTGAAAATATACCATAATTAGGAGAAACCCGTAAATAAATGCATGCAAAGATAGTCACTCGCACAACAATGTGTTGAAATTGAGTGAAGTATTCACCAAAAGTTTCATCATGTACCTTAGTTGCATTGGCAGATGAAAGTTGCGTATGAAATCTGCATAAGAGGTGCCTCCTAATCCTAGTCTCAGCTCAAGCTGTTATACCAAAAGAGGTTTATTACTTCAAAGTCTTAGTTACTACAGTAGCCCATACATCGGCAATCTCCTTTTTTTAAAGACTGCTATCAATACTCGATAGCAGTATACAACATCAATATCATTCAACGATTTTTTAGAAGACTGTTAACAACAGTAGAAAATGTTTTAAAAAAACAGCATACCATCATACTATCATTATTTCAAAATTTATGAACTTACAACTGGTGCAAGTAAGCCCCCAAATACAATAATTCCAGAAATGAATGAAAAGCTTGTAAGGTAGAGCTGCTTCAATGTCTTTGGAGTCTGTTCCAAACAACAAGGAACATATCTTCAGTCAATACAAGCCAGTGTTCTATTTTACGATTCGGTAATCAAGGTGACAAAGTGAAAATCAATTTGAACTGCAAAATTTTCCATAAATTCCTAAAATGTTGGTAAACCTATCAAATACATCAAAGGCAACTCAAGCAAAATTGGATAAAGCTAAAAAGTAACAAATAAAGTTGTGGATTTGGATCAAAGTAATCAGTGTTGATATCAATATTATTCTTGTGACCCATTCCATGTTTGTCAACTGTTTACAATAACAAGTGACATTACAATCTGCAACAATTACAGCAGAGTATAGCACCAACGGAGTCGGTGGAGGAAAATCAAACCAATGGCATAATTAATGCCCTTTACATGTTTAAGCGGTAAAAAAGTCTGAATTGGACATCAGTTACCATGGTAGTAACAAAAGGAATTGTTGATGGGATATCTGGCATCTCATCCTCCTCTTCGCCACTCTCACCCATAACTTTTAAGCCCTTAAGGCGTTGTTGTATTCGTAGCCTCCGAACCTATACTCATTAAAAGATAAAGTCGGGGCTATATGACACGGAAATGGAAGGAATTAATGGAAATGGTTGAGTTAACTTTGAGTTTCAAAGGCATTAGGATTACATACTGTCAGATCAAAAAATTTCAAATGCTCAGCAGCACCATTGGACAAATCAAAACTCACCTCTTCCATAAGGAGGAAAATCTTATTGCGCCTACTCCGAATGTTATCTTGGATTTCTTGGGCCTCCATCTGAACAAAGTCCTGAACAGTCTCAGGCCCTTCAATAATGCAGAAATTGCTGCAAAGAAACGAAGCTTCTCACAGACAATATAACAAACACGTGGACTGCATCATCAGCAAAATCATACCCGAGATGAATTCCTATGCTGCTCGTTCAATTTCACTAAGACCGGCAGAAAAGATTCAAGCGGAAGTAACAAAGGCAGAGGCTTGAATGCCTAACCTGGGAATATTTTCTGCAGAGGGGATGAATTTGGGTCCGGGCTTTGAAATTGAGCATGCCGATGGAGTTGCTGGATCATTGTTTTCCAAAAATAGAAGGCGTTTGGGGATCTTCCTGCCGGAAAGGGGGCTTCTGAGAGGGGAAATTGGGGTTCTTTGGAATGATGAGAGGCGAAAGCTGATCAACCCAGAAG